ATAAAAAGTACCCAAGAAAAGTGACTCAAACTATCCCCCAAACTCTTTTTGGAAGACTCAGTGGAAGGATTTTGCTCATGGTCTGACTGATTGCCAGATCTGGAGTTCAGGTCTCATCAAACTAGTTTGAAAAAAAGTGGCGTAGTTGTTAAGAGCATGGGACTGGGACTCAGGCAATCCAGGTTCGAGTCCCCGCTCAGCCATGGAGACAACTGGGTGACTTTGGGCCAGTCACAGACTCTCAGCCCAACCTACCTCACAGGGTTGTTGTTGTGGGGATAAGATGGAGGAGGAGAATGATGTGAGCTGCCTTGAGCCCTTTGTAGGAAAAAGGCAGGATATAAATCGGGAAAAAATGAGGGTTTTTTAAACCTCTTCTAGCATATCTCGCCCTGTTTGCTTGAACTATGCAGGGCATTGTTGAAGCTATCTGGTCTGTGGTGAAATTAGCTACCTGTAAGGCAGGACTTGGTGGCCTTCTAGTTGCTTTCTTGAATTGAAGATTCTCAGGAGCCTGTCAGTCTAGAAGCATATTCTAACTGTATTCAGACTGCTTACATTTTATAAATGTTGTACAAAATTCTGACAAGACTAGTAGTTCTTCCATAAGGCTATGTGTGATTTTAAACAAGCAGTAATTTAATTTATGCAGAGCCGTCTCTGATTCTAGCAGAAGGATTGATGTATTTTGGAAGTCCAGACATCAGACACTCCTGGTGTGTGAAGCTTCTAATCTCAGTTTTTGAGTTTTTGATTTGCATCTGGTCCTTTTATTCTATGTGCATATCACCTTCAATACCCCTAGGCTGTGGCCAAAACAAATGATTGTTGCATGGTCACAGGGGGTAAAGGTTGGTGTATATTCCTTCAAACAGCTACCTTTCTTCAAACTGAGTGCGGGGGGTGGGGGAGTAGCTGTGGAGGGGGATAAATTTCCTTAATATGTCTTCTCAGTGCTGCAGGTAAGCAGAGATGGTCTGGGATACTTACTTTGCTGCAGCTATAAATATAATGTCATGGAACATCTCTACAAGCACACCCCCATTCCATCCCTACTGTGGCCCTTTAGACCTAAAAGGAAACACTAGAGCAAAGTTCTTACTCCATTCTTTTGTCATTCTTTTGTGGTTCCTCAGAGGCAGTTCTTGCTTGATGTGAGCAACCTGAGAAATTGTTATTGAGCCTACTCGGGCATTGTGTTACCACATTCTTTTATTTAATATAACACTGTATTAAAGCATTATGTGTTCTTAAGTCTGCTTTAAAGCTTAAAATCTTTGTAATCAATCAATGTGAGATGCATTTTTAACCGGTCTGGTGGAAGGTCAAGCAGTATTGCAAGTAGGCCCAGAAAAGCTGTTGGCCCTCAAAACCCTTTGCCTTTTTTCCTGTTTAAGCATGCTTTGGATTGTACCCTTAATGACCTGGCTACACACACGTAGCTAGGATGACCATTTGCTAGCCTAGAGCAAAAACTAGCAACAACCAGTGTCTGCCTTGATCAGGAAATTTATGGTTTTAAACTCAAACCATCACTGTAAAAATATGTTTGTTCATTGCTCCCTGCTTTTCAGCCAAGATTGGCTCTCCAAATGGCTTAAAATTAAAATTAAAAGGGTTGTTACAGTGGTGATACATGGGAATATCTTGGTCTGTGGTGGTTGATGCCACAGGTCAGGTTTTGTGTTCTCCCTTCCAGAGGGAGGGGCAAAAGTCACTGCAGACAGACTGGAGGGCTTGCCCAGGGTGGTTATGCCAACCTGCAGAATCAGCAGTTGTGGCTGGAAACCAGTGAAGCTCTTTCAAGATCTGTGAGCTCTGAGTAGTCTGCTGTGTTAAGCATCTTGATACCTACCTTCTGTTCTTTAGCAGCAGTCCTGCACAGAGCTTCTTAAGTACCCTGTTCTAAAAGGGGGCAGCTTCTGATATCACAGTACATAAATCCTGGCAAAATATAAAGGTTGGCCCCGATTCTGAATTGTGTAGGAAGGTGGTGGTGTAGTTGCTCTAGATTAGTGCAGAACACAAGGTTGTATAGAGATGTGAGTTTTGGGGAAACTAAAACGATCAGAGCCCAGAGTACCTGCTCATGAAAATGCTTGGTACAGCAGGTGGTTTGGGACATAATAGCAGTATGGGCAATCACATAGAGCAAATGGAGAATGCACACAGTCTGTCTCTGTGTGTGTCGGCGGGGGGCGGGGTCACTCAGTGAGGCTCAAGAAGGTTGGCAAAAGGATTCCTTCACCAAGCATGTGCTTAAATCACAGAATGTATTACTGTGAGAAGTGGCAACGGCCTCTCACTTTGGTGGCTTTAAGAAAGGTACCTGGATGCAGAGGCAGTACATCTTTGAATATTGGTGGCACTTGGGGAGAGCACTTTACTCTTCCTGTGAGCTTCCCAGGGGGACTGTGGCTGTCCGTTCCTGGAGGCAGTGCTGGCCTGGACTAGACGGGATGTGGGTGCTGTTCCAGTGAACGTTTTTGTGATGTCTGTAAGAGTTCCAGTGTGACAGTGAGACTGCCATTGCCAATCCAGTGCCCTCCAGGTGTGAGCAGAGATGGACTGGCACACATACCTATGCAGCCCACAGAACATGCATGCTGTGACTCCTAAAATTTCATGGCTGGAGGATGCAGGGCTGGAAAAGTTTGTGAAAAGGAGTTCACAAGCAAGATAACCTTTTCCGTTTGGTAGAAATCAGTGCTGCCGAAGAAAAATCTACAGAAGTGCACATGATTGAAAGCTTTATCTAGGTTTCTCAATGGCTTGCCTTTAGCAGAGCCCTGTGCATTCCCTTGCCTTTGAAAAGGGTGTCCATTTCTGAACCTCTTTACTTCATCTGCCTTCCTGTTTGCTGGCTGCAGACTCCTGCTGGCTTTTGCCTAGCCTCCCCATGGCTGAGAGCTGGATGCAATTTCACTGGCAGTTCCCTGAGAAACCCAGACTGACATTTCTGCTCAGTGCTCTTGTTGGCTGGAATCCCTCTAAAACTCCATGCAGTCTCTTCTTCATAACAACATTAATGTCATTGTTAATTTTTGAGTAGCCTGTAAAGGAACAAGCTGGTGTTGATAGTGTGAGTAACATAAAATTGAATTATGCAATTAAAATGAGAAGTGAGTCATGCAATCAGCAGTTAAAATCCAAACCACTATCCCAAAGAATGTGCAGTTGCGAATAATATGCCAATGTTGAAATGCAAAGAACAAAAAGAGAAGTAGGGACAAAAAGCTTAAAGGGGCGGAAGTCAGTGCAGGGTAGGGAGCAGGTTTTGGGCAAGGGGAGAGTGTTGAGGTGGGTAACGTGATGGGCCAGTGCGATTCGGGCTGCTGGGGTTCTGGATTCCTTTGCTTATCAGCTCCTATAAATCCTCAAGGCGGTAACGGTGGACACTTGTTTGTTTTTGTAAAGTTAAAGTTGAGGCCAAACAGTCAAGGTCAAACAGGCTTAGCCAATATGTCACGTGGACTATGTGGGTGACCTCAGATACTCTCCAGAATCCTTTACATCATTCAAGGATATCTTCTCAGGCGCGCTTGTGCATAAAAACAGAAAACCTTGGGGCAGAGACATAACAGATATGTTAGAGAAACTTGAAATTTCTCTGTGTGGGAAGACATTGCATTTAGCCCATTGAGCTGCAAGTGACTGTGCTATAAACCTTACGGGCAAAGTTATCATCCAGCTTGTGGGACCTCAGGCTGGAGAAGAGAGTGCTGGTCTCCTGTAATAGAAGGGCGGAGAGCTCTTAGGGAAGGGACCAGAAAAGAGGCAGCTTTTACAAATCGGAGAGTGGCTGAGCTCTCCTTGGGGGTGCGGGGGGGGGGGAGGAAGGCATTTGCTTCAGTGGAGCAGTCCCCTGAGCCAAGTTTTGACATTGAGCTGACTCTGGGCCGGATCACTGTGTGCAGAGACTGCGGATGTGCATGGCGATCTGCCTGATTTAAACTCCCCTTGGGATGCTTTTGTGGATGGGGCTTTCCTGCTGCCTGCATGCATGCTGTACTGGGGTCCAGGAAGAATTTCTGCCTAAGGCTAGGTCAGTTAAACCCTTATTTGGGAAAGTGAGTGGGCAGGGCTGGCAATTCCCTTTCTTTGTCAAGTGTGTGGTAGCTCATTACTCTTAACTGTATGTTTTGTTTCCCGCCCCTATTCCTGTGTTTGGTTGTGCAGCATTTTGTGGTCTGGTCTGCATCCTCCACAATAAGGCCTGCATAGCACAGGAGTCAGTCATTACTAAATGGAGAGTACAGGATCTGAATCTTTGGTTCATTCTGGTCAAAATGCAGCAAATCCATTACTTAGGATATCTGAATAGAGCCTCCTCATTCAAAGGCAGTATACCTCTGTGCACCAAGTACTGTTGACAAGCAAGGGAAAACACCTCTTCTTATCCTGCCCTCTCTATATGCCTTTTATTTATTTCTTAGCAGTGCTTCGCTTCAGTTCCACATTTGAAATGCATCCCAAAGCAGTTTACAAAAGAACAAAAACTAACACAGTCCACACATGGAGTGCTATCATGAGGATGTTCAAAGATAGCTCCCAGCTCTGGGGAAAGCTAAAGTAAGCAGATAGGTAAACACAACAGCATCTCAGAGGAAAAATGTTCCTCAGGACGGCTGTTGGTGCAGAAAGGGCTGTTCTGTATCACTGCCAAACATGATTCCCTGAGCTGTGGTGCCAAGGACAGCCCCCTCCTGAAAGCAGCAGTAGCCTAGATATTGTTAGAGGGGAAAATCTTCTTGAACTAGTCTTGTCTAGAGATGAATGGAGCCTTGTAGGCGAATACTAGCCTAGCTCAGAAGCAGGCTTTCTGGCAGCTAGATCCTCTTGCACAGGTATAATATATGCATGGTTAGAAACCCTTGTCAGCTGAGCAGCAGCATGAGCGCCAACTTCTGCACCATCCTTATGGGCAGCCCCACTAGAATTACCTAATCTTGAAGCTGCTAATACATGGATTACATTGGCCAGACCATGTCTGTCCAGGAACCAGTGCAGTTGACAGAAGCTGCCCTCCTGGGTGCTCCCAGCCACAAGATCACTCAGTCCCCCAGTGAGTGTGATGAATCCAGGAGCACCTGCAAACTGCCAACCTGCCCCTTCAGGGTAAGTGCACTCCATCCGGAGCTGGTGATTCCCCCACAGTTCCCTGATCTGGGAATACTTCACTCACAGTGCTGCCATCTTGCTGGGATTCTGCTTCAGTTTAATTTTTCCATATGTATCTAATTGACCTCCATTAGACCTTTGGGCTGCTCTACCAAGGGCGCTTCTGCATTCTTATTGCTAGAGGTTCTTCCTTAAAATATATATAGTAATATTGCATGCCTGTAAAAATACAGGATAGCTCTGCCTCTCTTTGAAAATCTTGTCTGCTGCTTAGACTTGGAATTTTAAGCTGCAATTTGGAACCTCTTGATAAGATTGGGGTAGCAGGTTGGCACAGAAAAAGTGAGTTGCCTGCTCCTGGCTGGAGAATGTGGGGTTGAAAATATGAGAACAGATTGCTGGGTCAGACCAAAAGCATATCTCAGCCTTCTCCAACTTAGAGCTCACTAAGTGCTTTGCATCCCATAGGCACAGTCAGTGATTACAAGTGCTCGGAGTTGTAGCCCCAAACATCTGGAGGGCATCCCATTTCCCTCCACTGCAAGATCTGGGGCAGGCCACAGTATCTTGTGCCCTTTCTTTTTTCGGAGGCACATGTTCTCCATGTTCCCTTACCTTCATAGCCATGGGTTAGACCTGCAGCAACCCTAATCATGATTAAATTCTAACTAGTTTTTCCTTTCTGCAGTTTGCAAAACTGTTCTGATCCTGGCTGAGATGGGAATCCCAGCTAAGGTTATCCATGCTTACATTTGGTGCAGGTACAGTTCGCAGCCCTGGTGAAGGCTGAGAGAAATTCATTCTGGAGTTCAGAAAAGATCCTAAGCATGGTTGAGAGATTGGTTAGTGATATCCTCTCTGGGCCTGGGTCTTTGAGGGCCATATTTCCAGGTCCTGTCTTATGCTATGGTAACTCTGCTGCAGATTTGGAAGAGCTGGCTTCCTGTACCCTTGAAGAGAAGAATGGCTGGCACCTGTAAGTGTTGACATGCTTTTGTCGTTTCAAAGCAGATATGACTTGAAACGTAGCACCTCATGCGGGTTTGGGAAGCACATTTGGGAGGTTGGCCAGGGTAATTTTTTGAACCTGCAGTTCAATATTCAAACGCTGCTTTAGGGAACTTGAGGTGTGTTTTGTAGAATTGAGATTGCAAAGTGAAGGAGACCTGTCAAATGGATGGATGTTTACATACAGCAGCAAACATTAATTGGCGCATAACGTGACTGAATCCTGATTGCAGGGAGTTTAAATTTTGGGTTTCTCTAATTGCATGACCGCCTGCACCCCCACAAACACACCCCTGCCTGCAGGTCTGCAGCGGGTTTACCTGAGGCTAATATGATTGCGGTGCTTTACCTTTTATTTAAAATCATGTGTGCCGTGCTATATATTCCAGTTATGAACAGACTTTATCTGTGAAAAATAACTGTCTACATGGAAGGCAGAAATGAGATTTAGTTGGATGGTAAACATGCTTATTTAGCAGCAAGCCCTGTTCTAAAATTAAAGAACCAAGTGCTGATCTCTAGCCCAGTCCAGTGCTTGCAGTAGGACTTATTTACAGGTCTGTTGTTGAAATATGTGACTGAAACAGGGCTCCATGCTGTGCCTTCTGGAATGCTGTAGTTGTAGGACATTCGAAGGAAGTGACAGTCCCCATACAGCCCACAACCGTGTGTTTAATCTGGCTGAAACTTGAAACAGTACCAATATAAACAAAGATATAGGTCCATGGGCAGGTTGTTCCAGTTAACAGCAGTTGTTTGAGCTGGAGGGATGAAGGCAATAGAGGAAGTAAGGGCAAAGCCTCTTTAGTTTTCTCACACTATCAGCAGAGCTCCCAGTTTTTCAATCCAGGCTGCTTCCCTCGTGTTGCATAGCTTGTCTTCCTCAGAATATCCTGTTGTGTTAACATCCTGTGACTACATAGCAAAATGATGAAATTGCCCTTTGTTCCATGCTCATGATGCTAAAGCTGAGTCAGGAAGCTTAAGAAGAAATAGGTATATGTTGAAATGATTTCATTTCATCAGGGATGGAAAAATTATTTCGTATGCCCACTATTCACAAAGGTTTGGCACTGTAATAAGAAAAAGATAAATTGCTTAAATTGCGGAGCTGGCCACGTATAAAGTTTTGGCAGTAGCTTAGAGTAAGCACAGACATGGCATTGGAAGCACAGTTCAGTTTTCTATGACTGCCTGAATTTAGCAGGGACTGGGGTGGGTTGATGCACTTGTAGCCCTGTGGCTGAGTAGGCTGGAAAGCATACAAGCAATGCTGGTGAAGTCTCAGAAGAGAGAGTGGCAGATAAATTGGACCTTCCAGTGGTTGGCAGCTAGACTTCAGTGACTTTCCTCCTGACAAACAGGAGCAAGGCAAATAATGCAAATTAGCCTGTTTTGCATAATTATTCAGTTTGCAGAATGTGGGTTGCCTGGACACAGTTCCATTTCCTTTTAAACAAGGTAGTACGCACTTTGCACTTAATGTTAAAGCACCCTCAGGGATAACTATTAGTTAGAAGTCCCTTTTTATCAGTCATAGTTAGGTCTACTCTGTCTCCAGTGTGTGTTCAGTTAGGTTTGCTGTACCTTTGCTTGGCTGTGGCTGTCATAGCTGGGTTGCCCTACGAAACATTTGGCCTCCTCCATCTTCCCCATTTATAATTGTCTTTTCCCTAACCCCCTGCTCTTTGTTCATTGGGCCTATCAGCATTCTGCTCTCCTGACTGCCAAGTTTCTTTGGGGTATTTCACATGGATGGAAAGTGGATTGTGATTTCCTCTGAAGCAGCCAACATTTCTCAGAGTAGCTGGTTCAAATTGCTCACATGGAAATAGAAAAAACTGAAGGCTTAGACTTGGTTCCCAGTGGTTACCTCAAGTGACTGATATACCAAGAAGGAGATTGCCTTTAGAGAGGTTGCTTAAGGGCCTTATTATTTTCATTTCAGGTGGTTAATGGTTTGCCAAACTAACAGGAGTGTTCTTAAGCATGTCTAACTCTCTCTCGTCTCGGAATCTTTAACACTAAACTGATCACACTGTGCAGACGTACTTATCTGATTCTTCACCTTTCCCAAACTCTTCCTCTCTGCTTCCAGATCCACACCCCCTCTGTCCCACAGGTTTCTTTGGATCCAGAACCACTTGTGACAAGAGCTGCAGGTTCTTCCCAAAATGAAGCCCTCGCCAGCGGATCATTGCAACTTCTGCGGTGTCTGCTCATCAGCATAAGGTTGCCCCCATAACTCCTCCTTCAGTTTGTTTGTTCTACCCTCCCTTGCCTCTTCCTTGCCCCAGCGTGTTGTGGCAACGTCTCCTCAAGTCCCTCTCCGAAAACAAACCCACAAGTAGCACACTGACAAGTAGATGCAAAGACAGTACCGTTGGGTTGGCTTAGAGTTGTTGGTATTTGACACGGCATTTACTCATTTCTTTAAATACTGAATGCTTCCCATGAGCAAGGCTTCAAGAATATTTTACATTCTGGGGCACAGACATTTTTCCTTGCTTCGAGTTGGCACCAAGCATCACGACTCTGACCCTGCAGAGAACTAAATAAATATTTCAGAACTCTTGGGTGCCAGCTTCAGATTTCTAGGTGCTTGATAGATTGCCAGTCCCATCCTTGGTGTTTCTGATACAGTCATTTAATATACATGGCTACCTAATCAAGGCAGCTGAACAAAGGCAGATAGGATATTTGTTTGTGTACATTCTTACCTCAGACTTTGTTCTAAAAGCATGGTTGGAGGGCAGATGCCTCTTTCCTCCATGCTGAAATTGTTTTCTGGATTTCCATCTAGGTGCTTAGCTTATTAAGATAAAATTCTATGCACAATTGCTCTTAGAGTGTCACAGCTAGAATCTTACCTTTTTGATTGTGCTGTGTTTTGGTTTGGTTTTAATAGTGTCTCTGTATTGCATGCTCTTGAAAAGTTGATGTATACCCACGGCCTCACAACTTTAGGATGTCCTTAGAGCTTCAAGGTAAAGCCAATGACCTAAGGCACAAAATGTGTAAATGTCCTTACAAAAGGGCTGTGATGTGCAGTTCGTGGCATACATAGCTTCCCGGCCCTGTGGTCAGTCACTCAGTGGCTTCTGTTAATGTCCAATGCCATTCCCCACTATCAATGTAAGAACTGCCATGCTGAATCAGAGCAGAGGTCCATCCAGGCCAGCATTCTGCTCCCTCGGTGGCACACCAGCTGCCCACAGGACTTCTCAAGCAGAACATGAGAACCACCTCACCACCAGCAACTGCTGTAGACAGACATGGCCTCTGATACCAGAGTAGCATTTAGCCATCAGGATCAGTGGCCACAGATAGTCCTCTCCCATGCATTTCTCCAATCCCCCTGAAAGCCACCCATTGTCTGTATGTGTTGCAGAGGGCCTCCTTTGTTCTGGGCTTGAGGTTCCGGAATGACCTTTGTGGGGAAACATGGCTGGTCCCTTCATTGTTTGCTATATAATAGACTACAAAGACATGCATTTTCCTTGGGCATTTTGGGATATTCCTATTTATTTATTTATTACATTATAGCCCACTCCTTTTCTCCTCCAAAGAACCAAAAGTGGCTTACCTAATGCCTTTTCTCTCCGTTTTACCCTCATAACTCTGTGAAGTTGGTTATATTGAGAAGTAGTGGCTCGTCCAAAGCCATGTGGGGGCTAGAACCCTGGTCTTACATTGTGGCGTAAGATCTAACTGCTACATCACACTGGTTTTCAAAGTGCTGGCTTCTCAGGATGAGATCTGTTGGCTGTTTTAAATATTATTTTGGATGTATTTGTTTTTGCTGTGGATATCAGCGTTTCATTTTCTTTCATTTATTGTATGCATCATACAATGACATGTTTTCCTAAAATGCTTATATGTGGTTTGTTGCCCTACCTAGGATTTGCCTGGCAGATGATTGAAGAAAACATGGTTTATTTTCTAAATTCCTAGCTTGCTTCCCTCTCCTTTGGCCTGTTCCATCTTTATTTCCCACATACTTTTACAGCTCTGTAGTATTGTCATGTAAAGCAACTGGGTTTCTTTTTACCATTCTTGATTCTGTTTCATATGTAACAATAATTGTTTAAACAACCCAGAGTACATAACCCAACAACAAACAATGGGTTTGCATCCTTGGTTGTTCATAGTTTAACAAACCATAGTTAACAACAAACAACATAGAATTTAACCTGTGGATAAATAAACCACGGGCTGTCATTATGTGGGAACCAGGTGAATGTCCAGGGAGATAAAATTCTGTCCTCAAGGCAGAATTACAATAGTTGCTAATTAATATATAGTAAGTAAGACTGGAATATCATTCTCAAATTATTTATTTAATTTATTTATGTACCACAGCATCTCTAGGCAGCTCACAATCAGACAATTAAAACCATTATAAAAATTATCCATTTCTGTGATCTCAGGAGCTTGGATTAACCACTGATTTCCAGAGAGTGTTGTTCAGCCTTTACATCTGGTCAAGACAATGTTTGACAACCAAGAGTTGCAACCTTGACTGGAGGTCTTCATGCAGAGATTTTAAAAAGCCATCAGCTGGGGAAGTTTTAACTCTGGCTTTTCCTGAACCAAACAGAGAACTGGACTACCTAGAATACAAACCTCCACCAACTGCAATTCTAGATTCATAATAAGAATTCTTACGGCAGCTTGGCACCTGCTGAATATGCATTTCTTTCTTGCTGTAACAAATTAGATTTTTCTTGTTGATAAATGCTACTTTATTTATTTTATTCATTTCATTTTTATACTACCCTATAGCTGATGCTCTCTGGGAGGTGTCTACTTTAGAAGAAAAGCAGAGTATGAATGCTCACAGTGAAATAACCTGGAAGAGATAGAGATTGCAAACTGAGTGTAAGGCAGAAGTGGACCGCTGGAGTCCCTCCAAACATTTTGGCTTTCAAGACATAAATAGACAGATTGTGGCCCACCAGATATTTGGTGTGTGTCTCACATCATACTTCAACATTGGCTGTGTTGACTAGGGCTGATGGGAGTTCTAGACCAAAGCATCTAGACAGAGCCAAAAGCTGGCTACACTAGGTGTAAGGTCTAGTCCCTGAGCTTCGTGGAAACTTCATGCAAGATGACAAGATATTTTTGGTGTGGGAGGCTCCTCTGCTAATCTTGGCTTTGCAAATGTCTGTAATGGGTCCTGCCTTTCATGGGTCATGCATATGCATAAGGTGCATAGCCAAATCTCTGACACTGGCAAGCTGAGGCCAGTGCCATATCAGTGATGAAAGCAGCTTTTTAGACTGGGCAGAACATCCAACATACACGGAATTCCTTACCAACCATGAGAGAAGTCATGGATTCCCCACATTTTCTGATACCCTTGCAAGCTATTTGATGTTTCAGTCGGTCTTTGCATCTACAAAATGGTGGTTGCCTGCTTAGGAACAATGACATTTCACATGCCCTTTTTCCTGAGCCTCTTAGCCATGGCACCTGTGCCAGGTTGTGAAAGGGGAGCCTCTTCATTCGTGATGTGTGTGCATGGCAGACAGCTTCTTTCTGTAGGAAACTGAACTTTTCCATTTAAATTTTAAAAAAATACAGTGGCTGGTTGCTATAGTGACTGCTTTATGAAATGCTTTTGAGAGATGTCAAAACGCCTTCATAAAACCCACATGCTGGTCTAAAGTGTGAATACTGCTTGCTCTTGGAACAGAGCCTGCCTGGAGTTTAGCAGAGAATTTCTTTGGCTGGATATTGATGAAAGCAAAGATGGGTTTCCATAAATATGGCTTTGGGCAGCATGTAACCTGAGAACAGGCTCTTCTTTGACAAGGAAAGACAGTAAAATCAATTTGAATGGCTACCATCGTGGGTTAGGGCTGGAGGACAAGCTCAGGTTATGGATTCCGCTTTCATGCTTCCTTTCATTGTAGATACAGGGTGATGGGCACAGCTGGGTCTCTACCAGTCCTATCTTCACAGCAACATGTGAAATAGGTTATTCTGAGAGGGCCTTTCTGACCACGGCTCATTGTCCAGGAAGATAGATCCCTATCCAGTCCTCTTCTATAGAGATTTACTTTTCATTTTCACTGAAACACAACTAAATTGTAAATGACCAAGAAATAAGGAGACAGCATTGGTAAAAGGTGAATGTATGCCAATTGAAGAAGGAGGGAGGGAGTTAAAAAAAACCACAAGTCCACAAAGGTAAGGGGAACTAGGTCAGAGGATCTTTCCCTAAAATAGACCAGGTTGGGGATGAAACAATTTGTCCTGAGCCACAGCTGACCTACTGTTGCTAGATAGACTTTTTCTAGATGGGCTGTTCAGCCTGAGAGCTTGGAGTACCGGAGGGTCAGCAGGGCATAGGAATCTTGGAAGAGGCCTCTGAGCTTGAGGATGGGGTGCCAGGTGGAGAGGGCACCATCCTTAGGACTGTACACTAATGTATGCATCATTTGATTTCACAAGTATTACCTAAACTGGTCACTTTCTGTAATCCATTTGTCTGCCGTAGAATGACTACACCTTGCAGGGGATTTGAGGACACATTTTAAGGCATGTAATTTTGTGTACCACAGGCTGGCCTGCCCAATTGATCCTCATTTTTGCATCCTTTGAACTGGAAGTGCACCCTCAAAGAATATCACACTGCAGAGAAAGAAGCATTATCCCTTTAAATGGGGATGGACAACTTGTAATCCTCCAGATGCTTTGGCCTACAACTAGACCTGACTGACAGTGCTAGTGGTAAAGGATGACACAAGCTGTAGGCCAAGCTGTCTGGAAGTCCACAGGCTTCCCATCTCAGCTCAAAGGCTGCTTCTCTTAGAAGAACTTCAGGGTGCTCTGGAGCCATTTTTGAAAGCCATGGCCCATGCACAGCAGTCCAGGAGCCACCCTTTCTTTCATGTTTCTTTCAAACATCTTCCATATTTGGTGTTGGGTGCTAGTATATGGCATCATAGCTGCAAAATCAAGCAACTGCCCATTTAGAGATTCAAAACTGCAGCTAATGAGTGTTATGGTAGCTTATACTAATGGTGATTGTACAGCAAAGAACAAAAAAGCCCTCTTTGTAGAATCCTTGTAAGAGGTCCGTTTCCACAGCCAGCATGGCTAGCACCTCTCACTCTGCCTTTGGGGCTTGTCCCAGTAGAAAGCCTGACTGCAGTCTGGGCTTTTTGCCTTGCTACTTGCCCTAGAAAACATGGTTGAGTTAATACTTCTGGGCTTTTGAG